ATTGTTTGTGCCGCCGCCAGAACATCAGTAGGAAATACTCATGGGGGACCATTGTGGAAGAATACAAGTGATATATCTTAGGGTTGACAGATAGTTGACAGGGTGTTCAATATGGCGATGACAGTGTGAAAAATATGGCAGCCAATATGGCATACAACACCGAATGGCCCGAAGTTGCAAAACTACGACCCGAATGAAACGCTTCGTGAAAATCCAGGGTTGCGAAGNAGAGGGTTTTGTGTTCTCAAGATGAACAGAAAAGGGTTGCTGTGCTGTTTCGTTTTAAGCTTATTTTAATCTTAAGGTATCTAATTAAATATTAAAAGGAGACAAAAATTAAAGCAAAAATTTAAAATATATGTACATATCTGAAAATTTTAAATAAAATATATATTTTCACGAGAGACAAATTAAATAAAATGGGTTAACTTTAGGGGAAATATACTTATCAGATTGGGTCAGATAGCGCTTTTACGTTATAAATAAAAATAATTCCTACTTAAATTTTATATAATTTTGGTGACGTATTTCTACTATTCTATTATGCTCTAAATCGCTAAATAATTCTTGCAGCAATCAGCACTATTGGAAAGTGAAGTGACAATAGGCTGGTTTTCTTTATACAGCCCGTTTTAAATTCGAATTATTGTTATAATAAATTACAATTATTGTTTGTTTCCATTTCGGTCAACCGTTTAAAAATAGGAGATTTTGTTTACTTTTGAATAAGACTTTATCGAGTGCGCTATAAAGACGGGGGTATAAATGCTGTAAGGAAATATATGTTGAGTCCAATCGGTTTTTTGCTAATGCGGTTCTTGTGTAGGTATAAACAAGGTATATTTAAAAAAATACCTCTCCATAAAAAAATATCGTTATTTTCGTATTTAAAATTAATCGGAATTTTATGGGGGGCTATAAAAACTCGTTTTAATCGAAACTTTGTTTTTTCGGCTATATTTGTTATTATTTGTTGGCCCAGATGTAAATATTGAATGAACTAACATATTTTAAATATTTACGGAACTACCATTTGTATGCAACCCTGCCTATCCTATATTCAAGTAGATGTAATTCGAAAAATTTAAACGGATTTCTTCAAATCAACCTGAGCTGCCGACATATTGCGAATTCATTTTTAAACATTAACCACTACATTATATTAGTATTAAATACTTTCAATTAAGAAACAATTCTTATTAGAAAATAAATATGAATCGTTTTATTTTAAATATTCCTATGTATATTCCAAGATTAGGTATATTATGCAAATGCAATCCAATTTGATATGAGTTATTCAGTTTTAGATACATTTATATTTCTGTGTTCGTATGGAATAGTAGTTTATGTCGGGAAGCTGGCTTTAGTATAATCCGGCATTCCCTTTATTATTTACAACACAAGGAATCTTTTGATGACCCTTAACAAGAATATGGACGTGCGGAACTATTTCTTGCACGTTTATTTGCCAAAATTTCTTCAACGGCTCGGCGCCAGTGAGGGTGTGCTGCGAATGCCGCATTATACTAAAACCAGCCTTTTGACATAAGCTACTATTCCATACGAGTGGGGCACGTGCGAAATGCGGATTTTCCCAGTTGCAGTACTGCAGTAACTCGACACCTTCCTCACCAACCGCTCTGTCCTCTATGAGCTTCTTAATGTAACTGCAAATAAAAGATGGAAATTTAAGAAGAACTACTATCACAGCGTTTCACTTGTAGCGTTTCACTCTTGTAGTATATTGGCTACCAAGCACCAGAAAATTTCCATCACGCATTCCATATGCCACCGATTGTCGTGGATCAATTAAAATACTGTCATCACAGCTTTTTGGTACTCCAGCAACTGGTGTGTCTATGGCGGAGTTATGTGGAGCTGTTGCATGACTAAAATCAATTTGGACTCTTTGAGAACTGGCTTGTTTGTTGCGAGAGCTATTGGAATCAATTGTATGCAAATTAGATTTCCAAACGAGCAACTGTTGAATACAGGCAAAATTTATATTACCCATTTGTGTGTCCAGTGAAAGATGTGTATTTTGAATTAGTATTTTGATGGCTGTTCGCCATTTTTCTAGTCTGCAAACGAATAAGCTGACGAAGATGCAAACAAATTCAAGCACACTGTTGCATTCTACCGCACTTTTTAAAAGCTTTAAAATCTTAAAACATATGTGAAAAACTTTTATAATCTCAATATTTCTAATGCCGCAATCAAAACGAAATTTTATAAATAGCATTTATAAAAAGCAATCATCTAATATTTTTCAAGTTTTTGGGCATATATGTTACCATTTGAACAACAAATACTACCAAGTTTTAAGAGACTATTTAATGCAACTCAGGTCAAAAAAGCGCAGTTTAGACCAAAAGAAGCAANCGCAATCAAAACGAAATTTTATAAATAGCATTTATAAAAAGCAATCATCTAATATTTTTCAAGTTTTTGGGCATATATGTTACCATTTGAACAACAAATACTACCAAGTTTTAAGAGACTATTTAATGCAACTCAGGTCAAAAAAGAGCAGTTTAGACCAAAAGAAGCAACTATAAAAAAACAGATGATCGCAGCTGTGGCCCAGGATGACGTGTATTGCTAAGATATCTCACTTGTATTTGTACACAATGTGGGGGACAGCCTTCACCCACAACCACCTGCTGCATTTTACTCTTCTCATGTAATTTTCCTAGAAACCTCTGGTCGACTGTTGCGTTGTTCGATTACAAATAAGGAATGATCGGAAATGGCTGGTACCGAAATTGACACAATCGATGCTGGCAATCGAATTAAGGTGCAAACAAACACTTTTTCATACATGCATATGTACGAGGGTTGTTGCGAATATTCGCATTCGCATTCGCAACCGCGGAGCTTCCGCATTAATTTTAACATTCGCATTCGCAATAATCAATGCGGAGCTTTTGCGAATGCGAATATTTCGCAAGTGCACTGACAAAACCTATATCTGGCAAGCAAAGTGACAAATTTTTGGCAATATTTCTTTCCTTTGGAGATGCGACGGTAAAACTTTCCACCTACGTCCCCTTTCTTTTGCTATTTAAAGTCAAAAAGCAAAATTATTTAATAGGCATTTGCAGCGGAAATGTTTAACATCAAGCTATAAAGAGAATCGCCTGACCTTTAATTAGGTAAGTATTAGTAACTATCGAATATTATTTGTCAAAGATTTGTTGAAATAACCTTGATGCTTCGCTAGTTGTTTTTTTTCTTCTTTTTCTTAGATAAGTGAAATTGTTATTTTTTTTATGCAACGGCTTATTATGATTAAGTTCCATGTTTTCTTTAATTACTTAGCAGAAAAACACACCAATTAATTTTGACCGGTGCTGCTATGCAAATACTCCTGTGTGCGCCGCACTATAGGCAAAAAAGAGTTTTTTTTTTCAAAATCGTAGATCTTCGGTTAGAAAAGAGATAATGGAACGAAGATTAACGATCATATAATTTAGGAAAACTATAGAGAAGTTACAACAATAATAAATTAACCCTCAAATGCCCTTCAAAATGTCACTTTTTTTTGAAATTTTGGATTTTGGCTCGCATTTCACTAGAAAACACTATATTTAATACACCATTAGCATTGCCTCTGAAAGATTTCTCTTTATTTTATCTCCAGACCCGAATTTTGGAGAATTGGATGCTGTACTCGAGTCGCTATATTGGAAAAAAGAAAAGCTTCCTTTAAACTCTAATAACTCGTAAACTATTAGCTTTCACAAAAAAATGTATATAACAAAAAAGGATATACTGGTCGATATCTTTACGAAAGTGCAACATTCAGCCCTTTAAGGCAGAGCCTGTCATATATGAAACCCTTTTTAACCCTTTCAAGGCAGAGGAAAAAGGTTCTCAATATGCTTTTGAACGTGATTTTTCTCACTTCGAAGTAAATAATAATCGTAGCAAATTTTTCCATAGTAAAATAATAATAAAAGATAATAACAATTTCTTCAATGAAGTCTTTTTAATTTTTCCCATTTATGTATGTATGAAATAATATCCGAAAACCATAAGTAAAGTTTATTTAAGTCTTCTAGATCATTAAGGCCGTTTAAGGGTTAATACTAAAGCAAACGTAAATATTGGGCCAAAGAAAAAAAAATTAAATAAAAAACAAGTAAGAGCAGCGCTGTCTTCGGCTATGCCGAAGGCTTCATACCTTTCATGAACATCTGCAAATTTTACTTTGACAGATAACTGCTTTTGAATACATCTGCATACAGCGATAGAGGAGTTACATACTTATATAAAAAATCGCATCTAAACAATCAGAGGTATGGAAGATATACTTTATATGACACCAATCTAAGTGATTTTCACCGCTATGTGATCGGTATGTAAACCGGTAACACAATTTATTGGGTTTAGTTTC